TAATAACATACATAAGAAGAAAAACAGCACAGGATAGTATGGAGATTTGGACTTCCATAGACCTGAATTTAAACTTTGGTGCTTTTCCTTACAAGCTGTATAATTCTGAACTTTGTTGTTCTTATATTTTAAGGTGAAACTATTAATAAAATTCCATGAGATTCCTATAAGCATTAACTGAAACAGGTATTTTCATTTAGCTCATAGATATTCTCAAAGTACCCATTCAATAAATATTAGTTCCCTTTGTCTTCTAATGCTTCATTCACATTAATAAGAATCAAAGTGTAACTGATAAAGAGATCAGTTCAGGGGGCTCTATCATCCCAAAGAAAAAGTGGTTGGGAAATAGAGTGGAAATACATAACAGGAGGTAGGTCTTGTGTTAGGGTAGGGAAAAACACATGCAACTGGAGAGAGATGTGCATAGTAGTAGTAGTAGTAGTAGTAGTAGCAGCAGTAGTAGTAGATGGGATCAACCAGAGAATATGTACTCCAAGATGGCTAATAGCTACCACTTATTGAATACTTACTATTATGTACCAAGTATTGTGCTAAATGCTTCGCATATATTAACTTAATACAAGAGATCAAAAGGAAACACAACAAAAACACTTCTCACTAAGGAAAAAGCAACACTTCAGAAATACTTAAGAGATGAACAGAGTCACCTCTACAGAGGAATAATAATAAGTTGGCAGAGAGGTAGGAAGCAGACTCAACGACTGCAATATCAATCAACATAAGAGAGGATAGAATCTCAAGGAGCAGACAAATAGTAAAATGGATATTAAAATAAAGACTAAAAGGTATCTGTTGGAACGGGCAATTAGGAGACCTTTGATGTCATTTTACACAGAAATTTTACTAAAGTGGTGAGGTCTAAAGCCAGATTGTAGTGAGCTGAGGAAAGAGGAAGTGAGGAAATGTGAACAAAAGGTATGCACTACTTTTAAAAGAGGACTGTCTCTAAGGTTTAGGAGAGTGGTTTAAGTGGACTCAGTTGAAAACTGGTTGTTGAATCTTAGAAATGGAAATAATTGGAAAATACCAAATCTAAATCAACTTGCATATTAATGTCTCTGGGATCATTCTGAATTCATGAAGCATAGATTTTAGAAAGCATTTTCCTCTATTGTAAGTAACACTACTATAAACATAAGGGTGCATGTACCGCTTTGAATTAGTGTTTTTGTATTGGGAGGGGTAAATATCTGGTAGTGCAATTACGGGATCATAAGATATTTCTATGTTTATGTTTTTGCAGAGGCTCCATACTGTTTTCTACAGTGTCTGCACCACTTTGCATCCCTATCAACAGTGCAAGACATGAATGGAGCTAGAGAGTATAATGCTAAGGAAATAAGTCAAAGAAAGACAAATATCATATGATTTCTGTAATAAGAAACAGCAAATGAGCAAAGGGGAAAAAAGAGGGAGCGAGGTAACCCAAGAACCAGACTCTTAACTATAGAGAAGAAATGGATGGTTACCAGAGGGGAGTGGGTGGGGGATTGTTTAAATATGTGGTGGAATTAAAGAGTACACTTGCGTGATGATCTCTGAGTAATGTATAAAATTGTTGAATCACTCTATTGTGCACCTGAAACTAACATAACATTGTATGCTAACTAACTGGAATTAAAGCAAAAAATAAAAATAAAAACCATTTTCCTCTAAAGTTTTGCCAATACAGATTTTCCAATAAATGGAAATGGGCATTATCCTAATATAGTCTCATGGCTCTGCTCTCTGTAAGTCTCAATTATAAAGTGTAGATAAAGCCATACCAGAGAAAAAATTATGACTTTAAATAAACTATAAATCATGAGGAAAACATGTTTATCCTTAAACATAAATTTGCGGAAGACTACAGGGGCACTGGGGTGGTCCAATCGGTTAAGTGTTTGACTTTGGCTCAGATCATGGTCTCACGGTTCGTGAGTTTGAGTCCCTCATCGGGCTCTGCATTGACAGCTCAGGGCCTGGAACCTGCTTCAGATTCTGTGTCTCCCTCTCTCTGCCCCTCCGTGCTCACAATCTTTCTCTCTCAAAAATAAATTTAAAATTTAAAATTTCTATCATATAATTGGGTCCTAATTGTTAAGGTTAAAGTTCCCTGTAAGGGAATGATGATACACTATATTTTGTATATCATTACATATCAAAATTATATATTTCATGATATATAATTTTTACTAGAAATACAGACCAATTGAATAATTATTTGGGTGTCTATCATATACTTAGCATAATGGCAAATAAATAGATTTAGACTATGACTTTATGGGGCTTCATGTAGTAGAAAGACTGTGAAATTGCTTTACCAATTTTTTCAGGTTTGAGAGAAGAGTAGCATGGATAAAATGATCTGATTCATATATATTCAAATGCTAATACAAGTGTATTTGTCTTAGCCACATGACAGACATATTTGTACATCACAATATATTATATTCCCATAATATATGCCATATCTCATATGCCAAGAGATAGTCTTCACATATGACTCCAAAAGTTATAAAAGTCAATAAATGCATTCTACTCTTATAAGTAACATAAACATTATTCAGATAATTCCAATGTACATTGCTCTCAATGATTAAATATTTCCTTAAATTTTAAAACAAACTAAATAAAGCCTACGGTTCAATAATGACTCTGTGTGGTTTCATTAAGACTTACATTTTGACAGTTTCTCAGAAGGCCAGCACTTCATAATTAATGAGTGTTCAGCCAAAAGATTGACCTTCTGAATGACTGGATAAGTGCAAACTTAGGAGGAAAAAAGTTTGCTTTGGACCACTTATTGAAGCCTAAAAGCAGTTATCTTTTAAAATGAAAGTAAGTTCTGGAACCATGCCTAAGAAATTGGCTCTATGTGTTAACATTTGAGAGTCCCTATTACAATAAAAAGGCATGCTGTCTACTTTATTTTATGCTATATTTAAAATAAGAGAAATTATAAAAAGCTTCATTTACCTGATCATTTGCGACCTTCTGTAAAGTTTCCTAAGATTGAACTCTTAGGCATGTGAAGTCTAAGATATGAGACACTTTATAGAAATGGCTCTGGTATTCATTTCTAAGCTGAACCTACAGAGCTTCTACTAAGAATTTATCCTCTTATTTGGGTTTGAGTCAGTTAGTTCATTTACTTAAAGGTTAGCCTTAATGAGGTCAAGGTCATAGGAGGGGCCTGATGGAAAATGTTTAAAGTCAATGGGAACCTAGGTTTGAATTCCAGTTCTGCCCTTTACTAGCTGTAGGAACTTAAATAAGTTCCTGAGGCTCAATTTTTTCACCTTTAAAATGCAAGAGTAGCGCCTGTCTTTCTGTGTTTTGGGTGAAACAGGATACTCCAGTTACCATTTATGTACTTAATGCAGAGTCTGACACATAATATACCTTCAATAAATGTTAAATGTTTACTGTGCTTTTAATTTGTTATTAGAAAAGCAATTCACTTTATACATTATGTATTTTATGGATCATTAGTTAGCAATACCCAAATATCAACAAAACCAGTATTTTGGGAGTGTACAGAGGCCTATACACCTGTTTATATTTTCAAACCCAGCAGAAATTTCAGAAACCCAACAAGAATTCCTTATCTTTTTATATGTCAATCAGTTCTAATGTTATTATAGTTATTGAATAAATTTTGGGAATAAGCATGTAAAACAACACAGCTTTAGCTCACACAGGCTCAATAAATTGTGTATTGATACATGAATAAATGGAGGATTGCATGAATGAACTATTTAAAACTATGGAGCACTCAGAAACAAAGCTCAAGCAAAGGCCTAAAGATTCATTTCTATGCTGACACTGAATTGCCCCATAATTTTGAGAGGTTTCCTAATTCCTCTCATTTTCAGTTTTTTCTCTTTCAACCATAAAATTTTAATACATAATGTCTGTTCATGATCCCTCCCCAGTTCTGAAGGACTATGATTCAAACAGGAAAAGAAACTTGACTAAGGAGGCAATTTGTTTATTGGAACAGAAGAGGTGTTAGAACATAAATCCTTTGAACTTTTAGATCCTATCTTCCTATTTTCTCTCCTAAGTCTAACAGACTTTTGACAAATTTCCCAAAAATATATTATTTGACCACATGAAGAATAGATAGTGCATTAGGAAAATCTACAATAAAAATGAGCATATCTGAAGGAAATGATTCCAAACAATTTTCCAGAGAGGTGAGACGTAGAGATAGGTCTCTGGGAGGAGAAGAAATTTGAAGGGCTGGCAGATTTGTTGGCAATCTGTAATTTTCCATGAAGACAGTTGCCCAACAGTTCCTTGTAGTGTTTTTTTACTTGCTCATTCATTCATTCATTCACTCATTCACTCATTCATTCATTCAACAAATGCCTGTGGAATGATTACTATTTGCATGGCAACATGACAAGGTGGGATTATAATGATGAATGTGATGAATTTTGTCCTTGAAGGATTTATTCTTTAGCAGAGATGAAAAGGCATGTATATAATTTTTTAAATATTCTATGTGGCATGAAAGAAAGTTATATGAGATTTAAGAAGGAGGAAGACAATTTCAGCAAGTCAGTTTGCAACGAAGGGAGGAAAAATCAAAGAAATGTTGGAGTAGAAGGTAATTAGCTTGGGTTTAAATGTCTGTAGATTGAGCAGAAGATAATTCCTGGCTGAGGAAATGATGTGAACAAAGATTCAAAGGAGCAGGAAATGGAATGAAATTTTACTACATTATTAAATTTAAGAAAGAGAGTAATGGAAAGTGCATTTAAAAGAATAATGTCAGGCTGAGAAGACCTTTGGAAGCCACAGTAAGGGATTTGGTCTTTGTTTTCTGGACAAACGCAGCGGTTGGAGCTTTCAAAGAAGGGAAGTGGAAGAAAACTCGTCCTGGATGGTGATTACTGAAGAAGAGTTGTACGTGGTGGTTGTAAAATGAAGTTTGATAGGTAGATGCCCCAAATAAAGGTCTTAACTGAGCTCTCTTTCTTATCCAGGCTGCTGATGTCCTGCTGCAACATGGAGCAAATGTCAATGTTCAGGATGCAGTTTTTTTCACTCCATTACACATAGCAGCATACTATGGACATGAACAGGTAAGTCTGACAGTAGAATTTCCAAAGGCTGGCGAACCATTCTGGGCTTTTGCTGAACTGTCCTAGCTTCAAAGAAAGAATATTTAAGTTATCCTTTGGATTATTTTTGCCATATTCTCGTCAGCTCCACCCTTGAGCTGATAGATACATAGAAACATTGCATCTGCCAAATGATTCATTTTCACTAACTGTTTTAGTACCCAAGAGAGGAAGTAGAGTAAGTGTGCACTCCCAGTAATCACTCAGCCTGTATTTGAAAAATTCCTAGCTTTGTGACCATGTGTAGATGATATCTCCCTGATACTCAATTTCTTCATCTGCAAAGTGGAGAAAATATTAATAATGCCTACCTCATAGGGTTGCAGATATGATGAGATATTAATTTCAAGTGTTTGGCAAATGCTCAATAACTGTTACTATGATGATGCTAGTGCAATAACAATAAGACAAATCATTAAGGCCTTCCTTTATGAAAAAAATGTGTCTTTCAAAAACTGGGCTTCTTTTTTTCTACTCTCCTGGGATGTGGTAGGTTGAAAATATCCCCCAAAATATGTTCATGTTTTCATTTTCAGAACCTGTGCATGTTATCCTAAAAGGGATTTTGCAGATGTGATCAAGTTAAGGATCTTGAGTTGGGGAAATTATCCTGTAGTTATCTGGGTGGACCTGATATAATCACAAGCATTCTTATAATAAGGACTGCTCCTCATTTTTAAGAGACTAATCTGTGCTGTTTTAATCCAATAAATTTGTGGCAATTTGCAGCAGTGGGAAATTAGTACATGGAATAACCTAGAAAAATTAAAAACAATCACTCCAGAGGCACCTGGGTGGCTCAGTTGGTTAAGCATCCAACTTTAGCTCAGGTCATGATCCCCTGGTCTGTGAGTTCTAACCCCACATCAGGCTCTGGCTGACAGCTCAGAGCCTGGAGCCTGCTTCAGATTCTGTCTCCCTCTCTGTCTGCCTCTCCCCCACTCACCCTAAGTCTCTCTTTCTCAAAAATAATAAGCATTAAAAAATACTTACGTGTACAATGGAATACTACTTGGCAATAAGAAAGAATGAATCTTGCATCAATATGGATGGAACTGGAGGGTATTACACTAAATAAGTCAGACAGAGAAAGACAGATATCATGTTTTCATTTATATATGGAACTTGAGAAACTTAACAAAAAACCATGGGGGAATGGAAGGGGAAAATATAGTTACAGACAGAAGGAGGGAGGCAAACCGTAAGGGACTCTTAAATACAGAGAACAAACTGAGGGTTGATGGGGGGAGTGGGGGAGAGAGCAGGGGAAAATGGGTGATGGGGATTGGGGAGGGCACTTGTTAGGATGAGCACTGGGTGTTGTATATAAGCGATGAATCACAAGAATCTACCTCCAATACTAAGAGCACACTGCATACACTGTATGTTAGCCAACTTGACAACAAATTATACTAAAAAAGAAAAATAAAAAATAAAAAACAATCACTAAATGTGCTTTAAATATAATTTGCTTTAAATATGTAATTATATAACAGGTAATTATTTTAAAACTTGATATTCTGTAATAATATATATAGAATGTTTTAAAGTTTATAGTGTGCCTTCATTGAATGAATAGTTTCATTTGACCTTCGAGGCAACCTAATGAACTTAATGAGTTACCATGTGAGCAATCTCATACTATGGGACAGGAACTTTATGTAGACTGGTGGATTTTTTGTAATTTTTTCACAGTCCTAAAATTAACTATTATTTTCCCTTCTTGTCAATGATATGCATGAGCTCACTCAGGTCACTATGAGCCTGAGTAAACTGCCAGAGTCACACAGTTAATTAGGAGAGCTGGAATACATATTCAGGTCTGTCTAATCCCAAAGCCCATAATTATTCTGTTGTATCTTAGAGCATCTTCTTATTTGTCTTCTATCAGTGAGACAAATCAGAAAGCTGAGGAAATTTGCTCGAGTGGTGGGGCTATTTACTCAAGGCCTAGTGCTCTAACTCCAAAGTGCATTGATTTTAAAATTTTTAACAAATTTATTGAGATATAATTCAATTTAAATTGTATAATTCAGTGGCTTTTAGTATATTCATAGTTGTGCAACCATCACCACAATTAATTGAATGAAGCCATTACCCCCAGAAGCAACTCTGTACACATTAACACTTACTTCCAACTTCTTACCAACCTCTCTCTTCCAACCTGAGGAAAATACTAATATACTTTCTGTTTCTATAGAGTTACCTTCTGGAGATTCCCTACAAATGGAGTCACACAATATATGGTCTTTTGTGACTGACTTCTTTCACTTAACACAATGTTTTTAGGATTCATCAACTTTAGGGGCACCTGTGAGGCTCAGTCGGTCAAACAGCCCACTTTGTCTCAGGTCATGATACCACAGTTTGTGAGTTCAAGCCCCGTGTCAGGCTTTGCCCTCATGGCTTGGAGTCTAGAGCCTACTTCTGATTCTGTGTCTCCCATTCTCTCTGCCCTTCCTCTGCTCATGCTCTGTCTCTCTCTGTCTCTCAAAAAATGAATAAACATTAAAAAAAAAACAAAGATTCATCAACTTTATAGCATTTATCAGTACCTTGTTACTTTTTAGTGTGACATACTATTTTGTTGTATGGATATGCCAGATTTTATTTATTCATTTATCAGTTGATGGACATTTGTATTTTTTTTTCCTTTTTTGGGCTATTTTGAATATGCTGCTGTGAACATTCAAAGGTTTTTTTTTTAATCAGGTATAATTAACATACAGTGTTATGTTAGTTTCAGGTGTACAATATGACGATTCAACAATTCTATACATTTCTCAGTTCTCAACAAGATAACTGTATTCTTAATTTCCTTTATCTATTTCACCTATCATCTCCTCCCCATACCCACCTCATGTACAAGTCTTGATATGGACATCTGTTTGTTTTTCTCTTGGGTACATCTAAGGGTGGAATTGATGGCTCATATGTTAACACTATGGTTAACGTTTTATGTAATGGTCAAACTGTTTTCTAAAGAGGCAAATGCCTAATGAGTTAAAAATCAAATTGTCTACAGAACAGAAAGCCTATGTGACATACCTCCCAGGACAAAATAAGTCCATTTATTTTGACCTTAACATATTAAAAGACAAAATTCATATGTGCTTCTGTCAAAGATCACCATTTAGCTATCCTTAAGAAACTAAACTGACCCAAATAAAGCAGAAATAACAAATGTAATTGAATAACCAAAACTTAACTATTCTTTTGACATCCCATTTTCACTCTTCCTCACTTCATATCTCTAGATCCCTAGTCTTACTCAATTATGGAGTAAAATTATACCTTTTTACCTTTGTAGAGGTCATGTCATTGCACTGCCTGAGAATCCCAAGTTAAAAATCAAACTTACTTGTGTCTCTGTGCTCTTCTAGTCATTGTGCCTTTATTTCTTTGCTAGCTGGTGTATGCTTGGACACTCTCAGACCTGTGAAGCGTGACCTATAGCTAGGAAAGATTTCTCATTTCATTTGATGTGCTGCTCAGAGTGCACTGGAGTGTACTGGAGAGCTGGGCACTGAAAATGCTTTTGAAAGTACAGGTCTAAAAAGCCCAGATGATGAAAAAAATCCATACTTTTCTGACTTTAGGCAGAGACAGGATATACACAATGCATATTATTTGTAGAGTCATCCTCTTTGGTGATTAACCTCCTCACCCACAGAAATATAAAGAGCTTCTATGCATGTTGGATGGAGAGCTAAATTTGTTTACTTTCCCTGAATATATAGTCACAGTCTTATAAAATTATGCTAAAATGTGGATGGCCTTTTTATGATAAGGGACTCACTTTCTGTGTGCAAAGGCAGCATATAAGTAATTTATGGATGCTATTGTCATTTGCTAAAATATGCTGACAGGAGAATGGTACTTTCAATGTATAAATGTGCCTAATGTTCCATGTTCCTTGCCATTTGTTTATTTACTTATTTTTAAGTGGAAGAGTAGATGTTTTGGACCAAGAGCAATATTTCCTAGGTATATAATAATAGTGCTTAATAGACAATCGATTTCAAAGATAGTTTAAAGCTGTCCATTATAAAGTCACATAATCAGAATTGATGGAGTCTTTGTAAGTGGAAATACCTGCTTAGGAATGCACAGTTCTTGAGACTAACTTTTACTGTCCCAATTTCTCCTGAATTAAGTATTCATCTGCCCATTAGCCAACAAATGGATAAAATACACATGTTCCACATTTGTGCTACCACTTCTGCTAACATTTAGTGAGTACTAGGCACTTTTCTAAGTGCTTTCTTTACATGTAGTAACTTATTTAATCCTCATAACAACTCTATGAACTAGAACTATTGTGATTCCTATTTTAGCAATAAATAAACTGAAGTTTTGCAAGGTCTAATAATTTATTAAAAGTGGCATAGCTAATAAAAAGAAGCCTGACTTCAGAACCTTGTTCTTTACCCACTACACACTATAGGATGTTTTTCTATATCCCATACTGCTATTTTTTTTTTGCCAAGAATTTCTATCAAATATGTACCATATTCTTGACAGTTTTCTGCCCAAGATATGTTTATTTGCTAGCACCACATAGAAAGTCAAAATAGTTTTAGAGTTTGAATTCACTTTTATGCTAACACTTCAGTCATCAGGTCAGTTGAAGATTTCTCCCATAACTTATTTTGATGGCACAAACTTACTGCTAACTTACCTCTTGCGATCCCTGAAATGACTTCTAAAATTCTCAGAGACAATGTCAGATTTAGAGAAATTATTTGGAAAGTTTGTAAGTAGATATTTAAATAATTTAACAGAATCCTATAAATTACCTAAACCAAAGTCTGTAAGACTCCTAAGTTGTATAATATCCTATCTCTCTCTCTCTTTGGATGTGGATCTCAGCTAATTGAGGAAGATGCTGATCATTACTACAGCTATGTCCCATTTATTCACAAACTCAGAAATGAACCCAGAACTCCAGTAACAAGATAGCCACCAGTGACCTATCCATAGAGTTGCTGTAAAAATCAAGAACCAAGTAAATACTGCTGGCTTTAGCCAGAAGAAGATTTTGGAAAAGGTGGTTCAAGGCTAATTATGGGTAGCTTTACAGAGGATTATTTATGTACACTGAAGACCCAACCCTGAAATTGTCCCACTTTTGGACTTCTTGTTAGGTGATATAATAACAAATTCCTTATTGTTTAGGCCAATTGAGTTATGACTTTCTGTTATTTTCAGGTTAAAATAATCTGATAAATACTTAATGATATTTCTTCTTCCATATTTTTGAAAGCTTTGCATTATTGTTTGACTTTCGATACTAATTTCAAATGAATGGATCCTATAGGTAACCCGTCTTCTTTTGAAATTTGGCGCTGATGTAAATGTAAGTGGTGAAGTTGGAGATAGGCCCCTCCACCTAGCATCTGCAAAAGGATTCTTTAATATTGCAAAGCTCTTGATGGAAGAAGGCAGCAAAGCAGATGGTAAGATTATACGTTTAGAACACTTTTGCTATCTTCTATTTTATGTATAGTTCTTACTTGCATGTTCCTTATTTAGTGGAGAGAATCCTGGAGCTGCTGATTAATTGCATATGCTAATTTGTTTCACAAATAAGAATTTATTATTTGAACATAGTAACTAAATCTGTTATCCTTTTTATACATTTTAGTTCAACTCAGCATATTAGATGCTTCAATAAAAGTAATTTTAGTAATAAAAGTACTTTCTAGATAAAACATTCTTATTTTTTATTTTTCACTAATCTTTCTTCTTAATTGAGATAAAATTTGAATATAGCAAAATTCTCAAATCTTAAGTGAATGTTGACTTAAGTGATATTTACTATCCATAAACTCATGCAAAACCACCTAGGTCAAAATATAGAATATTTTCATATAGCAAATGAACTCTGGAAAGTTCTCTTGTGCTCCCTTCTCAGTAAATAGCTTTAACAACAAGAGGTAATCAATATCCTGGCTTCTATTGCCATAGGTTAATTTTATCAGTTATTAAAGTTCATGTAATTTGAGACTGCCTTCTTTTGATTGATAATATGATTTTTTTATTCATGTTGTTTCATGAATCATAGTTTGCTCTTTTTTATTGTTAAAGACTGTATGAATATTCTATAGTTTGTTTATCCATCATCCTCCTAATGGACGTTTGAATGTTTCTAAGGTTTGGCTTTTATGAATGTAGATGCCAGAAACATTCTCATTCAATTTTTATGTGTGTGTGTGTGGAACATATATATTTATCTCTTTTGAGTGTATCAATGCGGGTGTGTATGCATGTATGTACCATTTCTGTATACACAGGTTCAACTTTTTGGAAAATTTCAAACAGTTTTCCCAAGTGTACTATTTTTTACTCCCATGGCAATAAATGAGATTTCAGGTTGCTCCCCATTTCCTCCCCAATATTACTATTATTTATGGTGGAAACAACATTACAGCATGATCAGCCTAGGAGGAAAAAAAGCTTTAGAATACAAAGAAAGATTTTGGGATGTGGTTAATAGAATAGAACTTACCGCAACTTTTAATTTTCTTAATAATAATATGAATTTTAGAAAATTGATTAAAAGTAGAGTGCTAAAGAAAGTTCCTCCTTTCTCTTCTTTTTGTCTTCCTTACAAACTTTATTTTTTGACACAAATTCGCTTAGAGTTACATCTTGTCATTAAATTCTCTCAGGCACATCCAACATTCTTCCATTGACCCCCAAGAGACCTAATTAAAAGCCCAGCTGTAAGAGCTGCTGGCCTTTGCAGCAGAAACGATGCACATTTACAAAAGGACAAGGTTGTCAGAGCTCCAGGACTGCCGATTCTTTGGTCCAAAATTTAGATCAATATTCAGTTAATCAAGCTAATCAATGTTTTCACCTACATGTAAGGAAAATACAAAGGCTTCCAGGGACAAGTATGGCAAGAGGCGAGGGTAGTTTCCAGTCTCCATGTTGGAAAGAGAGCTATTTTATTTTATAAAGTTTGAGACACATAGTTGGTGTCATTTTCTATGAGCCAGTATGTAATAACAGACGTATTTCTTCTAAACATTATCATAAATAAGCTGTGTGGTCAGGATATAAGGAATGCTATTCCTTAGACCTTGTTTAAGCAGTCTCTTTGATTCTGTTGGTTTAGAATAGGCAGAAGTACACCTGTATGAACCACTGAACACATAATTGTGTTTTTGAAACTGCCTCGCTCTTCCAAAGGGTCAGGAACAGCTCACTTTTTTCCTTTTATTACTGATGCCAACCTCAGCTTTTTATTCCTCTGTGCAACTCCAAAGCTCGGTGGTGTCAAAATGAGTATCATTGATCAGCATGTCTCCAGGATCAAAGTTCCCTTCTACAAAGGACATTGAAATGTATATTGCACCCGTATTCCCCCTACATACCAGCATCATATGATAGAATTTTCAACAGTTTCTTTCTGATTCACACAAGCGCTACATGTTTTCTAGTCAATCATTTAAAATATCAAGAGACAGCATGACTCAGATTTTTATGTATTTTTATTTCCTTCTAATACACACTTGATATTTAAGTCCCTTTTGTACTTCAACCAATTGCAAAGAATAAGCCAGAAGATCTGTTGGTTACTGCACAGTGCACAGGATTTATTATCAGCTAGTTCATTTATTCCAAAGTGTAGCTAAGCCTCCAGATGATTTATTTTAGATCTGGTCCTTGCCTGTGGTAAATGGACATAAGAGGAAGAGTAAATTAATGACCCCAATAGGGGCACAATTTGAAATTTGGTATTTACAGTATGTTTCTCTGGTAACAGAATGTCACAAATGAAAATAAATTCAGATTACAAAATTAGCCAAAATGTAATTCTGAAAGCAGCCTCTTCAGTTTAGCATGTTTGGGAGGCTGACCTATTCAGTCACATATGTTTCAAGTCTCTAGTCTTCTTTGTCCCCCTTAAGAAAATAAAAAAGGAGAAATGTAATGCTTATTGAATAATATTGAAATGGTCAAAATGTTGTTGGACTCCATAAGAAGAAAGTAGTGATTGAATCCTCACGACTTATCATTTGAATAAAGTTTTAAATGGGGGGCGCCTGGGTGGCTCAGTCGGTTAAGTGACCAACATCAGCTCAGGTCATGATCTTGCTATTCGTGAATTCGAGCCCTGTGTTGGGCTCTGTGCTGACAGCTGGGGAGCCTGAAGCCTGCTTCAGATTCTGTGTGTGTGTGTCTCTCTCTCTCTGCCCCTCCCCTGCTTGCACAGTGTCTATCTGTCTGTCTGTCTGTCTCTCTCTCTCTCAAAAATAAACATTAAAAAATATTTAATGAAAAATTTTAAATTCAGAGTTTATTAATTTGTTGTCATCTGACTATTAAATGTTACAGTTCCTTTCATGTGGAACTAGATTATTACATAAAATCTCAAAAAATTTTAGGGCATAGCCAGTAAGAGGAAGTATTTTATTTCTAAAACTGTATCTTGTCAGAGCTATCACACAGATTTGTTCTTTAAAATGTGTTTAAGATACACTTGGGAGTTGTTTTAGAGAGCTAATAGGAAGTGCTTACATTGCTGGGTTACTATGGAAATTTTTATTTTATCTTTAAGATCAATAAGCAAAGATAAGCATGAAGTAGCACCCATCCACCCACCCATTCACTCAATCTTTCTTTCAAAAGATTTACTGAACACATACTCTCTTCAAAGTAGAGGACTAGGCACTAAATATTTTCCAAATAATTATTTACATCTACTTCTTTGCTTGAAATTCTTCTTTATTTAAATCTCTAAATAAAAAGTTAAATTAGAGCAAATAGAATATCATTCATACATTCAGTTACCCTTGTACAATATATAATGATATATACTTTTTTGGATCACTGCAAATTGGTTCAAGACAAAACTAAGTAGATCACAATGACTGAAGCAGAAATATAGAGGTATATATATAAACTCTGTGTCTGATCTGGATATCTCCTGGCTTGTTCCTTCCTTCAGTTGGTATTTATATCTTCTTTGATGAGAAGAAAGTCTAGGCCACTGCAGGTAATTCACCAAGTAGATAATCTACTTTGAAGCTTATTGATTCAACTAGAGAAGAATAATGTTGGGTGGGGCCAGGGATGGCCACAGGCAAACTATGAATTAATGGAAAACTGTGCTGCACTCTGCTTTACAATGTCCCCTCTGGACCTCAGGACCTCTTATGTGACCTCTACTTGCCCTGGACTCCCTACTGTTCTAAAGCATCCACTCGACTCGTGGTATTGACTTTCCCTGGCTTCCAACAGAACGTGAACAAAGGATACGTATCATAAAAAGAAAGATAATCAAAATAACCAGGAACATTCTTCTGAAGCAAGGGTGTCCTTCTGAGCCACTCATTAATAAAAAAGATTCAAAGATTTATTTTTCAATAACGGCCTTGGGAAGAGAAGTTCAGAAACTTTGTTAAAGATTTCCCTTTGGCTTAAGATCTTGCAGGACAATAAAGTAAGATTCATTGTCTACAAATACAGCAGCTACAAAGCCTGTGTTCATTAAATGTTAAAGGCTAGTTATAAAAACAAGTAGTAATAAAGTACTTGCACATTTTTAAAATTAACTATTACCTTCCCTTTTTTTCTCTCCTATCCTTTCATCTTTTCCTTAATTCTTTTGATTTTATGGATAACTTTTATTATAGATACATATAAGAATAACAAGTGTTAAGGATTGTTTTTTTCTATTTTGAATAAAATGCTTTGTACAGATGAACAAAATAACCAAATACAATAAATGACTATCGAGCAGATGATTCAGTTATTTTAGTTCTAATTTGTGCTAAAGCAGATCCAGAATTTAGCAGCTTGGTGTTCAGTTATTATTACCTCAGGCCTGTAATTATTCAATATTCAACTAGATTGCAGGTTATTTCAGGGAATAGATGCTATACATTTATAGGATATTGACCTTAACACTTAGCAAATTTCTAGGAGGGAAATTAGTGAAAATCAAGAATACACATTTTTGTTAAATGACTAATATAAGACGGGCATCATGTTAGATATTTTCTCATCATGATCTCTTTTAATCTTTTCTGCATCCCTGAAACAACAGTGTTATCATTTCCATTGTCACTGATAATAAAAAATCAGTATCTCGAACACTTAGCACTCTGCTTGGCACACAGTGATCATTTTATACTTGTTAAGGAATGAGTATATATCAATCAGATGCTCTTATTTGCAAGCATTAGAAACTAACTCTTGCTATTTTAGGCATAAAATGATTATATTAAAGTATACAAATTAGTGCAAAGTATCTTCCCCCCAAACAGGATGGAAAGACAGGTTTGGAATTCCTTTTTTTTTTTTTAATGTTTATTAATTTTTGAGAGAGAGACAGAGTGTGAGCAGGGGAGGGGTAGAGAGAGAGGGAGACACAGAATCCAAAGCAGGCTCTAGGCTCTGAGCTGACAGCACAGAGCCCAACATGGAGCTTGAACTCACGAACTACGAGATAATAACCTGAGCTGAAGTCAGACGCTTAACCAGCTGAGCCACCCAAGTGCCCCCAACTTTGGAATTCTTACTGTAAGGAACAGAGTCCAAAATCGCACCCCAAAAGTAGTCATTTGGGGCCACATTGCCACCCCTGCTAGGCACACATGCCAACACTTTGTGCTCCTGACACCAACAATGCAAGGCACCAAATCTGTGACTAGCATCATTGCTGCTGGAAATCGGATGCAGCTAATCTGCCATTGCTATGTTGCCAAGATAGATTAGGTTCTGCTTTTTTGTGTCCTCAGCCCTGATGTCAGAGCCTGATACAATGTGTCAACTGGAGAAGCCTATAGAAAAGTGTCCAAACCAGGGACTGTTGAGAGTCAAAGGATCACCATTAAAAATTATGGCAGGATAAGAAACCTAAACCAGGATATATGGTCACTATCTGCTGATCCTATGCCCTAGCTGCAAAGGAGGCTTGGAAAGCATATTTTCAGCTCCTATGATGGAACATGGTCTTGACTTCTAGTCAGTTCTCTCAGTATAGGAAATTCCCCAAATGTCCAAAGTGGTTATGGGGCTGGCTGGGCCTAAGAGAAGGAGAGATGCTCACTACTGAGTGAACAACTAAATATCAAATAACTGTGGTAATATAATTAATGAGGGCTGTCTCACTCTAAAGCTTATTATCTTTTCTTAATGCCTTGTTTTGTATGCTGTCGTATGATAATTCTCAGTTATGGGCACACCAGAACTTTCTAAGCAGTGTTGTAAACATACAGTGCTGACCTCACCCTAACCTATTGAACCAAAATCTCTAGGAATGGTACTTTAGCCAGGATCTGTAATTTTTAAGATCTTACAGAAGAAGGAAAAAAATCACTTTGGAAGGAGATACTTGTGGAAATAGACCATGAGGATCTTTTGGATACTTATTAGTTTCCTGAACTATTCCATTGTGCAAGGTAGATTTGATTAGATGTATTCCGTAGAATTTATGGAACCTAGAAGAAAGCCTGTTTAATGTGGCAATGGGCAATAGAATAGAATTATAACTTTTTTAATTGGTTGCACTTAATTTCCTTTAGTATTATCATTAATTGGTAATTTCCAGGAGTCTCTTGGGCACTTAGAAAAGTCCCTGACATGATACGAGAAGGCTGAGAAACAGTGGATTCCAGATTACATATGTTTCCTTTCTTGTTGATGACAGTGAATGCCCAGGACAATGAAGACCACGTCCCACTGCATTTCTGTTCTCGTTTTGGACACCATGACATAGTGAAGTACCTGCTCCAGAGCGATATCGAAGTTCAGCCGCACGTTGTTAATATCTATGGAGATACCCCTTTGCACCTGTGAGTAATATGTATAGTTCCATATGTCCTCCCGCTCTACTGCCTGTACCTTCTTACCACTATAAAAACATTTTCTTTAACTCTAGGGCATGCTACAATGGCAAATTTGAGGTCGCCAAGGAAATCATCCAAATATCAGGAATAGAAAGTCTGACTAAAGAAAACATCTTCAGTGAAACACCTTTTCACAGGTAAAATAATGTTTAAGTGCACTAGTGACTAAGGGTGGCTGATACGCTTCAGCACCTGAAGTTGTGCACATAAAGCAAGAAGGGAGAGTGGCAGATGTTGAAATCAGAGAGCAAGATCAGAGGGTGGGTAGAGGACAAGGAGCCCAAGCTCGATGCACAGAAGAAAAGGTAGAAGCAGATGCTGCAGTCGGTATAACAGATGGGGCCGGAGCCAGATGCTGAATTCCTGGCAGCAGCCACAAAGACAGGGACTGATGTTGCCAAGGCAACAGGCATATCAACATCTGTAAGCATATTGCTTCTATTCCACTTCACTCGGCGGAAAGCTGCCAAAAGGGGCAGTGCCCATAATCCTCCTCCAACAAGAATCTCATTACCAGAATTCATCAGCATCAAATGTGACACTTTTTTCCTTACCACTTAAACCTTATGTGCAAATGTATCTACCTATCTAAGACATCCATCTGTCAGCCTGTAAAAGTCTAGTCACGGTGGCCACTGAGATACCTAAGAAGGCATTAACTCCTTTATAGGAATGCATGAGAGTCCTCTACAATGTACTCTAGAAAAGGGCGGGGGAAAGATTGCTAAAAATAAGAGCCATAGCTCCCTAAAATATCCAAAGGAAAGACAGATGTTTTATAAAAATTGAAAAGTTCATTTTTAACAATGAGCTACTACTTTGCTGTAAAAATAAAAACATATTACTTTGAATTTAATATACCTTGAATATGAAATCATTTGCATACACATTAAAGATTTCTTGGCTAGTCTGCAACCTCTAAAAAATATAGTTGAGAATAGTATGTTATTTACATAGTGTTTGTATTGTGCTGGTGACTACTAGAAATGAAGAGGCCTTTTGTCCCATACTGAATTAGTATTAAGTTTGTGCTTCCTGTTAAGGCATCAGCCTGTCCAATTCTGCTTGGATGTTCAGATTTTTCTTATCAGACAAAAAGTTCAGCCAAAGGAAGGTAGAAAAAACTATTTATGGAGTGATGGATATCTGTCAGATGATTTGTATCCATTATGTCATTTAATCCTCATAACCATTTATGAAGTAGGATTTATTATCCCTCTTTTACAGACTAGTAAATTGAGGCTCAGAGAAGCTAAGTAACTTGCCAAAGAATCTTATGACTATAAAATCATGTATTAAATGCCTACCTGATTCCAAATTCTGTGCTATTTATTTATCTTCATGTTCTAATACCAAAATGTTACGTCTATGTTCTACATGTTCTATAACAGAACAGATGCAAGAACTCTTTGTATCATGCTTTCAGTCAAAATTGGTCAGTGGAATTTGTCCCCAAAGGGATAATTGGCAGAACTGATATGTACAGTTACTGGTGTCCTCTTTCCCCATTAGGTCATGCTTGTTAAGGCTGATACCTTAGGCTAGTTTTCAAATCATTTTTCTACTCTGTGTATATAAATTGGAACCAACTATAATCAAAGGATGATTGTCAACTCCAGAAGAGTCTATATGACAAGTTCAGTGAAGTGAGTTAAAAGTATGTATCGAATCGTTTTATTTTGTATAAGCCTGTGGCTGCTATGAATAACATATTAATATTTTTATTCTATTCACTTTAAGCACATATTTATAAAAGAAACTCTCCCTTTACATGAGGAGTTCACTCTGGTTCTGAAATCACAGTGCTTTTCAGTCAATAGAAAACACTCATTTCTGTTATTGTTTTCATATGTGTGTATATATATACATATACACATACACATGTAACACATATGTATACACATGAATGTATACATTCAGAACTCATCAATTCCTATAAATGGTCGCTTTGAAAAGAAACAATGAGACAGTTCAGACAATGGAACATTAAAAGTGTATTGTTATGGGTCTTTCTTATAATAGGAATAATTAATGGTGCTTAGATCTATTGCACTGAGTTGCAGGTTTTTATTAATTCTATTATCCAAGAAAGGCTTATTAAGGACCTGCCTTGTATTGGCACTGGTGAGAACATTAAGATGACACCAGCCCTTCCCTCCTTAAAGGAACTCTGTTGTAAGGTATCAAGGTAATCAGAGGTATATCCGTTACCATAACACAATGTAATAAGTGCCATAAGACTGAAATGATAAAGAAACATTGGAGATAGCAATGAACTCAGCCTTTGGCTACAAGAAGACTTAATAGATGGACCAATAGTTCAGCTAGATGAATAATGTATTTCTGTGAAGAAAATGATATTTCATTAAACAGAAAGAATTTGGGCAAGGTCGTCTCATGAAGAGGAACTAGTAAGACCCAGAAAACAATCTCTTCTAGAATCAAGTCTGGAAGGGGAAAAGAACCACTGTTTTTCTGAGATATCCTACAACACTCAATACTTCACTTCAAAATACAAGACCCCAGCCATGTATGAGTTTTTCCCACACCAAGCAATTCTCCAAATCTTCTGCTGACACCAAGTATGTGTCCTATTATTTAATTCAACTCTGATACTATCTACTTGGAGTTATGTCAGATCCCACAAGTTAAGGGCTCAGGCCCACAAAACTGCCCACTCGCCACTTCAGATGCCACTCACAAGGCCAAGTTGTAACCTAAATCTCCCTGGCCCTTTCTGAGTTTCCCCATTCAGTTGTCCTGCAGAATGCTTAGGTCCTATAAAAGTGCATGAAACTTGCAATATTTTTCCTCCTTTTATGAAAGAGTATCATAGGAAATATTTAATAATAATATACTGGAAGTTTTATACAACTTCTCATCTTGGAGGCCCAGATTTGGGAATCTCAATATTTTATTGCCATATGTGCCTGTTTTTTATCACTTCCTTCTCTCTCCCTTCCTTGTCTCTTTAGCACTCTTGTATACACACTAGCATCTGGAATAGCCTGGGTGAAACAGGACTGTACTCATGTTCTAGAGTTGCCATAACAAAATATAACACACTAGGTGGTTTGAACACCAGAAATTTATTTTCTCACAATTCTGGAGGCTGGAAGTCCTAGATCGAGATGTCAGTGGATTTGGTTTCTTCTCAGACCCCTGTCCTTGACTTGTACATAGTCATATTCTCCTAGGGCCTTCTTATGATTGTCCCTCGGTCTGTGTCATCTGTGTACTAATCTTCCCTTCTTATCAGAACAGCAGTCATATTGGATTAGGTCCCACCCTAATGATTCCATTTTAAATTAAAAACCTCTTTAAAATGTACCCCTTAAATACAGTCACATTGTGAATTATAAGAGGGCTTAAGCATATTAATTTGTGGGACGCACAATTCAGCCCATAAGAGAGGTCTTTTGTTTTCTTTATGTTGTGTTTTTGCAGCGCTTGTACCTATGGTAAGAGCATTGACCTGGTTAAATTTCTTCTTGACCAGAATGTTATAAGCATCAACCACCAAGGAAGAGATGGGCACACGGGTAAGGCTTTAGTGAAACATCACCAGTTTTTGATGTATATCCATACTTAAGAACAGTGGTATGCTCAAGAGGGAAAGGAAAAGAGGGAGCAGTCAACCCTAATGAGGAGGGATATTTTATCAATGACATCATTTAGAATTGATGGTGCCTGATGACAATAAAAAGTAGACTGACTTTTGGTCAGTTTCATTATTGTGCTTAATTATCTACAGTTCATGTATCTATTATGGCCTGTACCAGGAGAGACTGACCGCACTGCGTTGGCATTGGTTTGCTGCTCAAGAAAAATGCTTGTTTGGGGTCTTTGTTCATGTACAAAGATGCTAACATTTGTTCTTGGTAATTTCAGTGGATGTAGAAATACTAGAAATTCTGCTAAACATAAGGCAGTCTATCTGGAAGATCAATTAGAATAGGATACTTCTTTTGCTTGAAGTATGCCATGTTTGCTCAATAATAGAATTAAGTTTTCACCAAAGAAATCTATCTTTGATTATATCTCTGGCAACAAGCTATGATATGGTAATAACTATCTTTTGAAAATTGGGGTTCAGTTTTCCTCTTCTCTCCTTGCTTGCTTTTATTCTATTATAGGATTGCACTCTGCTTGCTACCATGGTCACATTCGTCTGGTTCAGTTCTTACTGGATAATGGAGCCGATATGAATCTGGTAGCTTGTGATCCCAGCAGATCTAGTGGTGAAAAAGATGAGCAGACCTGTTTGATGTGGGCTTATGAAAAAGGTATATTTTTCGTCATTGCATCTCCATGGTGATACACTGAACTGTGTGCATAGATTATAGATTATGTCAATGCATCAACAAGTCTTTTGCTTGTATGACTTCTGCACTCCCATTTCCTCTGTAGATTATATTTGAGTCTTTGGGAACTTGATCAAAGAGTCCAATAGACCATCACTAAGGCAGGCAACTCCAGAGCTTCAGGTGAGCTGAAGGCACTCTTGGTATTGGTACTTTAAAAAGAGAATGAACTATATAACATTCTTAGGTATTAGAGAAATAAAGTTGTATTATGTAATAATAATTACTTTCTTAGAGTAGACATATAACTAGACTTTATCTTTTATATATGGGAAGTTTTATGTGGATTCAAATTTCTTTTGTTGAAATAAATACAAAGAAAAGGAATATTTGTTAGATCTAACCTTGCTGACAATGCCTGAACTAGAAGTAAGGGAGCCAATGATTAGTGAGCACTTATAAACTTACCTTAGCTCAAAATGATGAAATTTTGGGCTCTGATGTGAGAACACCTGGGTTTAAATCAAGCCATGTTCTTTGATCTTGGGCAAGTCATTTATTCTTGCTGAATTTCACTTTCTTCATCTGAAAAAAAAAAAAGGGACTTATAACAACTCCTGCTTCCTAAGATTATAAAGATTAAATGAGAGAATATATGCAAATTGATTACAACACTGGCTGGCACAAAGTAAGTACTAATAATTAGTATTTCAGTAATGGTAACAGTCATAATAGTAGTAGTAGTTCATAAATAAAAATGATCAATAATTATTTCTTCATGTTAAGGGAGAGGAAACTAGAAATGATCAAAAGTGGAGTAGCATCTTTGTCATTGTTTTAATGAGGTATATTGTACCTCATAAACAAACTCTGCTTATACACAGAAGCTCCTATGGAGTTTAAATTTCCAGGTGAAATAAATAAATAACTAAATAAATTTATTTGTTTTCAGGTGAAATGGAATAGAATACACTGTCATTGAAATCAGAGGGTCACAACTAGATACCTTAAAATATATCAAATTTTGCTGCCCACTTTTGCTGCTTTATTAGGATGTTTAAAGTACATAAAGAAGTGTTCTTATCTTTTTAAATGCTAGAATCTTAGAAGTCCATACTAAAAAAGAGCAATTGCTAAACTGAAAGATTTCTCAGGCTACCAATTTGATCTAAAAGGTTTCCTACCTGAAATAGGACATGAAATTGTATTAATTAAGAGATGAGGTTTCATTGATAGTTGTTGTAAGCACAGAGAGAGAAAGAAATGATGTGAAAAAAATGATTATATGGGGTGCTTGGGTGGCTCAGTTGGTTGGGCATCCGACACTTCAGCTCAGGTCACGATCTCACGGTTTGTGGGTTCGAGCCCCGCATTGGGCTCTGTGCTGACTGCCAGCTCAGAGCCTGGAGCCTGCTTCAGATTCTGTGTCTCCCTCTCTCTCTGCCCCTCCTCTGCTCACACTGTCTCTGTTTCTGTCTCTGTCTCTCTCTCAGAAATAAATAAAACATTAAAAAAATTTTTTTAAAAAAGAAAAAATGATTATGGGAGTTACTTTAATAGAGAAAAGTGAACAGACATGGTATACTAAGAAATAACTTAAACGTAGTCCTGTTATGTTTTATACTTTTTATTTGAGTATTGTATAAATACACATGTGCACGTGCACACACACACACACACAATTTTCACATTATAGCTCAATAAATTTTCACAAACTGAATTCACATCCAGTACCCAGTATCCAGATGAAGAAACTGACATGTCCAGCATTCACAAGACCCACTTACATTCTTTTCCAGTCATTCCCCAGAGAGGGTACCACTGCTTTCTTGGGGCATAAATTAGATTTGCCTTTTTCTGTACTTTATAAGTGTACCATTATGGTATGTACATTTTTAAATCTGGCTTCTTTTGACCAAAAATTTGTGAGATTCACTCATATTATTGCAGGTAGTTGTATATTGTTCATTCTTATTGTTATAATGTTTTGTTATATCACTATTTATTTATTCTATTGCTTAAGGTCATCTGGATAATTTTCAGTTGGAGACTATTATGAATACTTTTGCTATTAACATTCACATACATGACTTTTGATGAATATATGAATGTATTTCTGTTAGTTATAATGATCTTCTAATTTGTATAAAATAAATTCCAGGTAGTCTGTATTTGAGTATCCCTTGGAAATTCATACATATTCTGAAGCCTTAGGAGGCCTTAGCAAGTTCTAGTTACCGAACACATTGCATTTATTCAAGTGATTCTCAGACAGTGTCTCTCAAGAAACTTGAGTTTCAGAAAAAAGACTGTTTACAAAGCATTAGTCTTCCGGAAGACAGCTCAGATATAGCTGCTGTAGGTAGCTCTTTACAGGGGTTGGCTTTGTTTGTTTTTAGTTGATTGAGAGTGATAGTTGAAAACTAGTTTTAGTTTTTGTGGAATTTCACATTTTAAGGAACAATGAATCATTGTGTAAGTTCCCAGCATTTCCTACCAAATGACAACAACAAAAATCTTTTAGCATAGAGGATTTACCCACTGGTCTCTGAAACATATGCCATACTTGTCACCCTTATTTGTTCAACTAATGTGATAGGCATCGGTGTTGCATTTCATTATTGCTATGAATTTTAACAAACTGAATGTTAGTACTCAGGAGACAGATGGATGTTTTGCATATGTTCTAGAGCAGAACATGTCAAAACCAAGAAAATGAAAATTGTTGCTATTTTCTCTTGCTAGAAAAATGTTGCATTGTTTTCATGTGTTCAGGAAAGATTGAGATGGCCTTGTTAAAATATTGTCAACAGTGCACTGTCCCTGTTTTCTTTGTATAAAGAAAGGCATTCCTTTCTCCCTTAGATAGGGAGTCACCAACTTGACTGATGTAGCATACTAAGGATTTTTCTGAGAAACTTGGAGATGGAGTTGAGGAAACATGAAGGCTTCACTTAAAATTCCTTCTTCATAGGATAAAGATGTTATAGAAATGGGCCCATCATGGTGTACCTAGTACCTTATTCTCTCCTGGGAGAGATAAACCGGAAGTGAGCTTTGTAACCAGGATCTGTTTGAAAAGGAATACTCTGGATGTGCCCAAACTGACAAGCTCATCCTAGTCTACCTTCTTAATAGAAAATTGGGAGTTTTTCTCAACAACACCCATCTGTTCTAAGAAATATTTTACCTGGCACCAACAAAATTTTTAACTTACCCTCTTCTATTCTGATATAGCAAATTCAGCTCAGGGGTGCTTTGGAGTTTTGTAAGAGTTATCAACTCTTTTTTGGAAACAGAAAAGAGTTCACTCACACCACGGCTCCCTGTGGATCAGATATGAAGAACAGTTTCCATTTACATAGCCCTTTTAACCTAAAGATATCAAAATCAATCTTGGAAATAATTTTCCCAGTGAACTTGATTCTACACAGAAGCCTACTGGTTAAGTTGCAATATTTCTCTGCTAGACTACTCAGAGCTCTAATTTTACAATACTTAGAGTGTTTCCCCTCCTCTAGTCTGCCACACACACACACACACACACACACACACACACACACAGAGCCTTCTTTTCTACTTTTCCATCTAACAGTAGCAATAGCTGTCTCCCTCACTTGGATTTGTTCTGCCCTTTCCCTGGGGTACAAAGGACTTGTATGAATCAATTTAAATTGGCCAGACGAAATAGCCAGCAGCCTGCTTATGTTCAAATCCTCTGCCCTAATCACCAGTATGGAAAACCCATTGAAAAGACCAACACATAATCTTACATCCATTGCATTAAAGATGAAACTGCCGAATTGAAAAGATCTCAGCCAATTAGAATTGAACACATAGCTCAATAGTGTGTCTGGCAGTTAGATTTGAAAAGGCTGTCTTTGACAAAGAAAAGCACTTCTTTATGTCAGGCTGTTTAGGGTCAGAAAATAACTCAAACTAGAAACAGAACTAAAAACTTATTTGCTTCAGTACTGACACCAGTTAAAGTAATTTACAGAGGCTCCTATCCCAATATCTAATTACACAGAATACCATATTTGTATACATCAGAACTACTCTAATTCACAGTGACAGGGAGCTGCAGTAGGAGAATTAGTGAGTAAGTGAGCAAAAACAATAAAAATCAAGGCTCCTGTACTATGATATATACTTTGTTCATTCCTTTTGACAAGTGTAGTATGGTGTGAATTATTTATAGTAAACGTACTATCGTGTATCCTCTAAAAGTAATAAAGTCTTACAGTTGTGAGTTTCTACAGTTTTCAGCCAGTAAAAAAATAACTAAAAGAAAAGAGTGGGGGAGGAGTTGAAGAAGAGTGGATTCATTAAGTTTTTTGATAAATCTTCATCAGTGGGTTATAAATTCTAAAGCTTCTTCTATATTGAATTCTTACCTATTGGAGTTTAGTTACTTAGTCTAGTATGCTAGAGTAAATTAGGGGTGCGGTAGAAGAAGAAATAAACAAAATATTTAGGCATTTCAAACTCTATGTCAATTTTGTGTGTACTAGTTACCTTTCTACATGTTTAGTTACTCTTTCTTCTAAAAATAAATAGAATAATATCAACTCTCATTAGAATGGTCAGAACTTTCATTTTTGGAAAGGGATAACACACTAAAATATTTTTTGAATCATAACTATGTAAAAAGCTGCATACATTAAAATGGATAGTAGAAGAGAACTTACAGGGGCGCCTGGGTGCCTTAGTCGGTTAAGCGTCCGACTTTCGCTTAGGTCATGATCTCGCGGTTCGTGGGTTCGAGCCCCGCGTCGGGCTCTGTGCTGACTGCCAGCTCAGAGCCTGGAGCCTGTTTCAGTCTGTGACTCCCTCTCTCTCTGACCCTCCCCTGCTCACGTTCTCTCTCTCTCTCTCCCCTAGAAATAAATAAAACATTAAAAAAAAAAAGAAGAGAACTTACATTCATTACATGCCTATTACATATGCACATATATGCATACATAATTAAATTATCAAGA